TGAAGAAGTCGGGAATCGGAGGTATAACAATACGACTCCTGACGAAAACACGTAGAAGAAATGAATTCGTCAAACACCGGGTTCTTTTAGTTGTTCACAAATGTTGTTAAGTTGGTGGTGGTTCAAATTAAATCAGCTGTCTTGTTGGCTATTTTATTACACATACTAGGAATAATTGAAAACTTTGTACAATTAATAGTACTGCCACACATTCTAATCTCTAATGCCATAAAACATAATTTCTCTCGATATACCTCTCACACTTCTAAGATTACCTCTCTCTCTCTCTCTCGCTTTTCAAGCACGCTCTCAAACTGGCACTTCTTTCGCCCAGTTAACTTGGCGTCGCAGCGCCCTCTAACGATCATTCATTCCTCTTTTTTTCCACAACTCCCGACTCTTTTATAAAAATAATTTCACTTTTCCAAATTTTTTTAATGCTAAAATGAAACGTTAAGGAGGCCATTCAATTGTATCCTTCAATAATACAACCGGTAGTAAAGCATTACGCCTAGCATTACGAAATAGCATTAAAAGTTACGAAAAGCATTACGAAATAGCATTACGCCTAGTGAAGTTGAAGCTTCGAGTTGAAAGTGGGTCAATTCGAAGCGGTGGATTTCAAACCGGTTTCAGGTCAACGCTTAAACGCCTCATGCCTCGGTGGGAACGAGCCTTAAAAACGACCCAGTAAAAATTAAATTTATTTCACAAATTTTTTAAACCCTTTAACTCCTAATAATTCATCAAATTGCGGTCAATCGATATAAAAATTCGACTCGTTCTTTTTTTTTAATAGAAGCTTTAAAATCTGAAATAAAATTTTGAAATAATTCGTTTCATAAAAAACGAAAACATTCTGTAGTAATGGTAAACTGTTCCGCTCGAAATCAGGTTCCTACCGAAACTGGAGAGGCTGGACCTCCAGGACACGGGACTGGTGCGGCTGCCCAGCGAGCTGTTCAGCCCCACTCCCCACCTGCACTGGCTCTCCCTGTCCAGCAACGCCTTCGAAAATGTCCCCGAGGAGGCCCTCTCCAAGGCGCCCATGCTGGAGAACTTGGACCTCAGCGGCAACGACTTCACAAGTCTGGGTGAGTATGAATGATTGCTTAATGTGTTTGTTAAGATTGAACAAACAGATGTACAGGGTGGTTATAACTAAAGAAAAAGAAAAAAAAAACCCTAAAAAAAAAGAAACATTCGTCGCAATGAGTTCAAATTTGATCTGAAGATACTTGAAGAAGGGGGAAACGGTATGGCATCAAAAAAGAGTTCTACTAAATTTTCCCATCCAATTTGGTATGACCCTGCCTTGGTGGATGGGCTTTCCACCAACAGTATCACAGTTGTTGAAAGACTGGGAAGTCTCCTTTTTTCCGTCAAAAAGACGAAAAAATCAAGCTCATTGAACACTACAGTTGGTTTAATGGGCAACTCATGCCAAATACATTGTAATTTCAATTCAAAATATCAGTGGCAGCCGAATTCACTTTCTTTATGCCGCTTACAACGCCATCTATTAATACACTTTGGAACTTTTTTGATGCCGTGCCGTTTCCCCCTTCTTCAAGTATCTTCAATTCAAATTTGAACTTGTTCAATTTCAGTTCAAATTTGATTGTGAACAGTGGTTCTTTTTTTATAGCATTTTGAAAGTGGGACTTTAATAATAATCAATCAACCTGTAATATTTACTCATGTAAAAGTTTTTATTCGTAATTTTGTACTTCTTTTTAATCTATTCAAGAAAATTTTTGGAAGCTGTTATTTTTATTATATATTAGAAGGATCGAAAAGTAATCTCGTTTCAATCCCTTGCCGACATTCGTTAGTCATTTATCAATTCATTGTGTACTCCAAAGTCGTGCCAAAGACATTTTAAGGTTAGAGTGATTCGTTTACTCTTAAATATTAAAATCTTACATTTTTATTATTGAAATTTATGGTGAAATGACCCACCAAATACCAGAAGAGATACATATCTGGCATTGTATACTTTTTGTGTTTCACAAGGGCATTAAAGCAACGGTTATTACCAAAAGCACTTTCAATGTTTATCTAAAGGCATTCGACGTTCGTAAATGCCAAAGGTGATTAAATCCGGTAATTTCGATCTTTCCGACTCGTACCGATCAGGAAGGTTTGGTTTGGTTAGTCGCTCTATGGTCAACTTCTGCACAGTTAGAGGTTAAACAGACGGGAACCTACAGTTTAAAGTGGATTCCGAACCACTACAAACATTCCATGGCACCGCCGACTCTACCGATCAGGAAGAGCAACAACTTTAGAAAATGACATGTTAAACGCGAAAGTGGATTGGTTTGATTTGTCATCTTGGACATGGCATCTTGGACACACGGCATCTTGGCATCTTGGATTATTGGCACCTTGGCATCTTGGACATTGGCATCTTGGACACACGGGACATCAGGGCGGAAGTGGAAGCAAATCCATGTCAGACCTTCTTAACCTACCTTAGTAGAAGAGATGCACTTTACGGAAAGGAAGAAGTTGAAAGAATGTGGGTGAGAGGAGATGTCTGATTGGGCTCTGCTACGCTGTACGGTCACATGACACCGGGACCTACTGTTTAAAGTGGATTGCAAACCACTACAAACATCCATGCCACCAACAGCATTCGAACCTGATTCATGTGGTACCAATGGCCAGAGCGCTAGCTAATTGGCTATCAGGCCGCCAGGAGTATTCGAGGAATCGTTCAGTGATGAGACCTGGACAAACTGTGAATGCAGATCTTCACTGTGAACATTTGGCTCGAGTAAATCAATCTTTAATTGAACAGTACCCAGCGACTGTCAGCTGAAAAGGCTTATTCCGCAACACGATAATACAAGACCGTACTGCGCAAGAGGAACTCTCGGGAAAAAAAATTGATGAATTGAGATGGGAGGTAATTATTCACCCTCCATATTCGCCCGATATTGCGCCATCGGATTTCCATTTATTCCGATCGCTACAACATTTTCTAAGTGGCAAAAAATTTAAAAATTCGGACGATGTTCAAAATATCATCTCCAGATATTTCGCTCAAAAACCAATTGATTTTTATCGATCCGTTATCAAAAACTTGTTCACTAGAAGGCAAAAGGTTGTTGATAAAGAGGGGCAATACATTATTGATTTAAAATCCTGTTTGAATTTAATGTTAAAAAACTAAATTACTTTTCTGCCTCGCCCCCTTAATAAGATGAAATTGATGGTAAATTACTGCATTTTGTATTTTTAAAGGATTTGAGCAACTTTTGAAAAAAAAAATTTTTTTTCTTGAAAAAGCATTAATAGATCGTAATTTTCGTAAAATTCCATTCAACTGAAGTTCTGAAATAAATTAACCAGAATCTAGAATTTAAGATTTACAATTAGATTATATTTTATCTGTACACATTTCTAGGAGCTAAAGGAAGATTATTTTTCTTAAAAAAAAGTCTTACTTTATGTACTTAATCCAGTCAATTTCTCTTTCATGAGTCGGAAATTCATAAAAAATACATAGTTAGCATGTTTACAATAATGGCATAGGAATTTAGACCTTATTTATCAGATATACTTTGATAAACATCTAAATTGCATTTCTTTGAGAATCTTATACAAATACTTTCTGGAGTAAACTGCAATTTCAATACGTTATCATCATCATTGGCGCAACAACCCCATGGTGGGACAAGGCCGTCTGCCTACTGGCAGATTTCGAAACATGAGATGTCTTCTTTTTACGGAGTAGGTTTCCTACTCCGTAAAAAGAAGACATCTTATGTTTCTTAGTCAGCCCGTCATCTTAGCCGACATCTTAGTCAGCCCGTCACTCTATAGTCATATCAGACTGGGACCTACAGTTTAAATGAATTATGAACCCCTACAAACATCCATGGCACCGCCGGGACTCGAACCCTGTGGTACCGTGCGCCACAGCGCTAGCCACTCGGTCATTCAGGCCCTTCAATACATATACGAATTTTAAATTCAATATAATCTATTTTTAATCTTAGAAAGACTTGTACATATGTAGATTAATTTATGAGAATGAATTGTAAAACTTTCGAAAAGTTCAATTGCTAAAACGCTTTTTGAACTTGTTTTTCTTTTTTTTTTTTCAATGTGTTAAAAAAATGACTGATTGAAAAAAATCTCACCTTCGAAATTCATCGTCTTTATCAAAGTATCCATACTTTTGGGTGTGAAATGGAATCTACTAGTATAAAATTGTAGATGATTCATAATGTCATGAATACGATTTTAAGATCTCATCATCCTAAATAAAAATAGTGCTTTATAATGAAGCTCAATTTATGGAAGATTTCTGTTTTTGCCCCAGATACGACAAAAAACCAAATACTGAATAAATTTTTAATTTATCTTTATATGAAAAATGTATACAAATTTATCTTGCAATACTTTTTAGTTTATTCTTGACTTGACTTGACGTGACTTTGAGATTTAGGCTCGCGTTAGCTGCTTCACCTCAATTTCTCCAATTACTCTCGAGAAGAAATCGGAAAAAAAAAAAAGAGTACTAAGAAAAACAGATTTTCAGTTAATCAGTGGACTTGGTTAGTGGTGGTGAGTGGCTTGGTCAGTAGTTAATCAGTGGAACTGATTCATAAATTATGATATGAAAACACCAAAATTGTGGTGTAGTGCAGAACTTCTGTCACTTAATAATAAAAAAAGGTTAGTACACACATACACTCACAACGAAAAAAGAACTACGCAATTTTTCGTAGAAAATTAATTAGTGAAACAGTTTTGTAAAGTTTATTTTTAAGAAGTCCTAAATAATGGAATAAACACTTTTGAAAAAAAAATGCATATCACTTTAGTTCTGAAAAAGCTACATACTTATTTTGCAAATAATTACCAGATAAATAATTATCTTCTTGATAAATTGTACATGTGCTAAAAACAAAACTTATATTTTAATGTACATAAATTAACAATAAAAAAATGACATCTTTTTTATTATTAAAAAAATATTTTTTTACACCGCTTCTCGTTAGATTATCGAAGTCAAGCATCATCGGGCGGGTGTCAGTACTTGGGTGGGTGACCACCTGGGAACAACGAGTGCCGTTGGTATCCACACATTTGGGACCTGAATGGCTGAGTGTCTAGCGTTCGGTGGCACAGGTTTCGGGTTCGAATTCCGGCGGTGCAATGGATGTTTGTAGTGGTTCGGAATCCACTTTAAGCCGTAGGTCCCGGTCTCCCATGACTGTAAGAACGTCACGGAGCCAAAGTCTGACTTCTACCTATGGGTGCTCCATCACAACAGAAGCTGCTTCCTTCCCCTTCAATCAAGAGTACGTATGGGCTCGTGGGCTTGGCCAGCCAAGTGGGATAAGAAACAACAAAAATATTTTTTTAATAATCCTTGTAATGTCCATGCTTACTTGATTTGTCCGTTTGTCCGTAATTTATAATTCTAATATTATTTTTTCATTAAATGTAAAATCTATCAGATTAATTTTGTAAAATACTTTTATCCATGCAAAATATGCTAAATTATCCATTGAAAGACAAAATTAAAAGCAAGTTGGCGAGATATTTGGCATGGTTCACCTTTCAGAGATTTTTGGCAATTTTGAAGATAGCGCGCGAAACAATTATTTTCTTGATACGTGCTTAGCGAAGGAACAATAAGAAGTCGGTCTGAATGGCCGAGTGTCTAGCGCTCGGCACCACTGACTTCGGGTTCGAATCCTGGCGGTGCCATGAATGTTTGTAGTGGTTCGGAATCCACTTTAAGCCGTAGGTCCCGGTATCATAATGCAAAGCGTCACGGAACCAATTCAGACTTCTACCTACGGGTGCTCCATCACAACAGAAGCTGCCCCCTTTCCCTACAACCATGAGTCCACACAGGTACGTGGGCTTGGTCTTAGATATCTACTAAGTGAGATAAGGAACCATAACATAATAAAAAGTCTTCAGAAGCAATGATTGGACAGTTTTTTTTCTTTCTAATGCAGCTGGCAAACACAGACAGCTTGGTCTTTGAATGCCTTAAGGCAAGTGCTGCACAGACGTTACTCACTTTGCATTACCGAGGGGGTGCGTGTCACTTGATGGTAAGCCACGGACGCGGAGTAACAATAACCCCGCAACGCTCTACGATCTTATTAGGACCAGGACCTACCGCTTAAAGTGGATTCGGAACCACTAGAAACAACCATGGCACCGCCGGGACTCGAACCCGAAACCTGTAGTACCGAGTGCTCGCCACTCGGCCATTCAGGACCAACGATTGGATAATAAATTGAGACATTGTTCTCGTGGGGTGCACTTGGTTAACACGTCGATGCATTTATCGCTATGTTAATAGTAATTAATCTGACATACTTTTGTGTGCGTTTCTAGTGTTTGTCATTTAAGAAGCAGCTTTTTTTACAATAATTTTTGCTTTCTGATCTTTCTGCAACGTTTTAACTTTTCTTATTTTTTTCTAATTGGATGCTTTTACATTTTGTGATTATTTTAAAAATGAAGATTGGGAGGTACACTACATGTACTACGTAACTGATACATCCGTTTCCATTTATTAAATGATGGGTTGAGACGGTCCTAACAGGATCGTAGAGCGTTGCGGGGGCATTGTTACTCCGCGTCCGTGGCTTATCTTCAAGTGACACGCGTCCCCTGGGTAATGCAAAGTGAGTACGTCTGTGCAGCGCTTGCCTTAAGGCATCCAAGACCAAGCTGTCTGTGTTTGCCAGCTGCATTAGAATTTTAAAAAAAAGTTTGTCACTCTGTGGTCATTTTGTGTGCACATTAGGTTAATTAGACCGGACCTACAGTTTAACGTCGATTCCTTAACCACTAACACAAATCCAAACCTCCGCCAAGATTCACGACCTGATGAGCAATTGGCTGACGCTCTGGCCCGTTGGTACCTCAGGTTCGAATCCTGGCGATGGCATGGATGTTTGTGAGTGGTTCGGAATCAGCATTAAATTGTAGGCCCGGCCTAATTAGCCTAAAGTGTGCACAAAATGACAGTAGAGCGACAAACCAAAACAAAAATCATTCATGGTGCCACAATAAAGCATGTTCCCCGTGTGTCAGAATCTATTACAATTTCGCTTTACCAATAAATCAATAACTTAATAGTAAGGAGCGATATTGGAAAGAAACATAGATGAGATATAGTAGATAGGTAGAGATATGAAATAGGTATTTGTATATCTACTATTTGTAAATTGTTTATTATAATTTTTGATACCCATTTTATATATATATATATATTTCGATAAAGAAGCAAACAAAAGTCAATTTTTCTCTTAGTAAATGAATTATTTTCCTTATTTTTTGAAAACTTAAATGATTTTTTATTCTAATGCAGCTGGCAAACACTTTAGACAGCTTGGTCTTGGATGCCTTAAGGCAAGCGCTGCACAGACGTACTCACTTTGCATGACCCAGGGGGCGCGTGTCACTTGAAGATAAGTCACAGACGCGGAGTAACAATGACAATGCAACGCTCTACGACCCTATTAGGACCGGGACCTACCGCTTAAAGTGGATTCCGAACCACTACAAACATCCATGGCACCGCCGGGACCCGAAACCTGTGGTACCGAGCGCCAGAGAGCTAGCCACTCGGCCATTCAGGGCCCAAACTTAAATGATAAATAATAAAAACAGTAAATGGTTAACAATAAAAAGCCCATTAAATAATAAATAATGTCCTTTCGCACATATATATGCTATATGCTTACACATACGCAAGCGATTCACGTCTATTCAAGGCAGAGTCTTTGCTTTCTTCTCTAACATTGACCTTCTTGTCCTGTTAGATTTATTCCGATTTTCTGATATTTTCACATTGCCTGTAGATCCACAGGTCGCTCCTCATTTGACAGTCGATTCTGGTCTGATTGATTAGTTTTTTTTCTTAGGTGACACTGCAAATTTAAACATAAAAAACAGTGTGTAGCTCAACTAACACTTTCCTCAAACCACATGTTGGAACAGCTATGAATCTCTATGGCTATCAAATTTCTAACATCCGGAGACGGGGGAGGTTTGGTTTAAGTAGTCGCTCTGCTGTCATCTTATGCACACTTTAGGCTAAACAGATCGAGACCCACAATTTAAAGTGGACTCCGAACCCCTACAAACACCCATGGCACCACCAGGATTCGAACCCGAAACCTGTGGAGACGATGGAGGTTTGGTTTGGGTAGTCGCTATACGGTCATCTTATGCACACTTTAGGCTAAACAGACCGGGAGCTACCGTTTAAAGTGGATTCCGAACCACTACAAGTATCCATGGCACCGCCGGAACACGAACTCGAAACCCGTGGTACCGCGCGCCAGAGCGCTAGCCACTCGGCCATTCAGGCCTTGTGTATTGCTGTTGTTGTATGTGAAATATCAAAATAAAAATATCATTTCATAATTTGTTTCCAACAAATTCACGCAATGAACAATCAATAACTTTGTTTCATAAAAAAAACCCATTAATATTTTATCTTGTAGACCGGGGCAACTTCCGAAGACTGTCGAAGGTGTCCCTCCTGTACCTGAACAACCTGTCCCGGCTGAGGCGCATCGAGAAGGACGCTCTGGCCGGCCTCACGGCCCTCAAGTCCTTCTCCTGCAGCTACAATCCCAACCTGGTTTACGTGGACGAGGAGGCCTTCGGGAGTGCCAACTCGACCCTTTCCAAAGAGAGGACCATGCCCCACGAGCAATTGTTTCTGCGTCAGAATGCGTTGAGGTAAATCGGGCAATTCCCCTTTAGTTGAAAATGAAAGGGAGAAGAAAATCAGATTTGTGTTTTAAATATAAATCAGTCATTAATGTAGGGATATTGTTATATATATACATATATACAGGGTGATTATAATTAAAGTCCCATTTTCAAAATGCTGCAAAAATAGAACCACTCGTCACAATGAGTGCAAAACTGAATTGAAAATACTTGAAGAAGGGGGAAACGGTACGGTATCAAATAAAAATTCCAAAACAAGTTCCACCGATTTTTCCTATCCAATTTAGTATGATCTTGCCGTGGTGGATGGGCTTTCCACTAACAATGCCACAACTGTTGAATGACTTGGAAGTAATTTTTTTTCCGTTAATAAGCATATTGAGCACTACAATTGGTTTAGTGTGCAACTCATGCCAAATACATTGTAATTTCGACTCAAAATATCACTGGTAGCCGAATTCACTTTCTTTATGCCTCTTACAACGCCATCTATTAATACACTTTGGAACTTCTTTGATGTTGTACCGTTTCCCCCTCCTTCCACTTATCTTCAGTTCAAATTTGAACTCATTGTGAACGGTGGTTCTTTTTTTTTACAGTATCTTGAAAGTGGAACTTAACTATAAACACCCTGTATATATATAATCAATACCAAAAAAACAATAATAAAAGTTAAAATCCTACTTCCACGAGGAATTGGAAGGAAATACTACTCAAGTTTTGAATTATACAATTTTTATTATGAATTAATTTTTCAATGCAAATATTATTTTCAACTTCTAATTTCATAAAAGACGATACATATTGTTAATTATTGAATGAGTATGAAAGCGGTATAATAAAAATTTGGTACATAGAAATATGTTTTGAGAATTATATATATATATATATTATATATATATCAAAATCTCCGCTTTAAATTTAAAAGAAACTACTATTTTGAGATTAATTTTTTTAAATAACAAAAAAAAAACTCTACGACAGTGTAAACCAAAAAAAAAAAAAAAAAAAAAAAAAAAAAAAATCTTTTTCTAGAAATCAGTACAAATTTTTTGAATAAATACTGCGAAAACAAATTTTTAAGGAGGAAAATTAACTTCGTAAATATTTTTTAGGTAAACGCACGTTCTATGAATTGTTTTAAAAACTACTAAGTATTAAAGTGAAGAAATAAAAATAGAATTAACTAACTATAACTACATTAAAATTTAAAAAATGAAGTACGTATTCCTCACTTAGCATTCAAACTAAGGCAAACTGCGTGACTCGTGGCGACGTGCGCCGCTGGTGAGCATTTGGGCGGAGGTTCCATTCACTGGCGGCTTTGTTGTAGACATTGTTTCAAGAAAATAGCAG